CTGCCTCAGTTGCTGGTTTTCTCTTTGCCTTTCTCAATGACAGGGTTGTACTCCCCAAGAAGTACGATAGGGTGAACTGTGTTGGCCTGTTCCACAAGAAGAGCTGTTCCATCCGAGTGGTGAAGAAGACTAATCCTGAGATAAGTTGCAGAGTCTACAATGGAGTTGGATAAGAACACAGGATGAATTCCTCCTCTTTCACACCTACCCCAGAAGCTGAATCTCTCCTTTAGAGGAAAGCAGCAAGCAGCATGGCTTCAAGAGAAATGAGTTTTCCTCGTGCCTTTCACAGCTCTAATTGTACCTTATCTATCTCATTTCTGATGCTAGGTGGTTTGTCTTACACACATTTGTAACCAAACTTTATCACAGGCTTTTTTCCTGTTGGGATCCAGAGGTAAATACATTTTCAAATACATCAAATCACTGTAGTCGCTGATTTGTCTCCTTGAAAACAGAAGAATTTGTGGTGTCTATAAATGTTTGTAAATCTAATTACTGATTTGGAAATCATCTAGCTTTTAAAGTAACAGGTATTATATAAGTTGTTGCCAGACACACAGACTCATTATGCAATTACACTTATTGACATTCCCCCAATGACATGTGTGCTGGAAAATGGGATGAAACAAAGCAGGAAAACAGTCCCTTGAAAGCCTCCCCTCACCTTGGTGCCTTGTGCAGGTCAATAAATGCAGATGCACAAGGAACATATTCTCCAGGAGATGACTGATACATTACAAAAATGGCAATCCCATGCCTGAGAGTCCAACATACTGAAAAGAAGTGCCATATAAATAGCTCTGTAGCCTTCCATACCAGGGTAGAATTTCCTGCAATAATCTTGTTTGGATCAAAGTCCACTGACAAACAACCCCATGAAAGCTGTTTTTATAGGAAACCTAGACTATAAATCATGTTTAGCCTGTAGACTTCAGGCATTACACTGTGCCTGGTGCAAAGTCCATAAAAGTAGTTAATATGAGAAATATCCTATAAAATCTATTTATACAATATTAAGAGCAATTACAAAAAGAGTGCTGTATACCTTAAAAGGCCCAGACAAATAATTTGTGTGTTCAGTTTATTTAACACTGACATTATAGTGCTTTTCCTCATCTGCCTTTCCTCTACCTTCCTGAAGTTTAGTACAATTAAATATTTCATCTGATTCAAACAACAGCTTCTTTCCATATCTGCTGTGGAAAACCACAATCATTAATTAAAGTGTGGTGCTGAGAACACACAAGTAGAAAACCTGCACATAATAAGGAAAACAGCTTACTAATTATCAGAAAAATCCCATCTATGGCAGTCAATAAGGTGATTCCAGAAAGCAGATAAAATGAGAAATACATTTTATTTTTAGAATATTGGGGGGCTCAGGAACAAGAGCAAGTTAGAACAAGAAGCAGCTCCCTTGGATGATATCCCTCTGTGCCTTCTTGGTACCAATGCCATGGACATCCCTGCAGCTGGCTATGACCAGTCTGGGAGGAACAGACATCAGAGGGACCCTCCCTTCTCTGCTTGAGGAGGATGAATCAGAGGATTTAATCCAGTTATATATAAATATATATATATACTGGTGTATTTATATCTATGGAGGTAGATTTAGATACAGATATATACAAGTGGTTATGCTTTCCTCTTCCTAAATGCTAGATTGATCTATAAGGGCCTGCCTAGGGACCCCTGAGTAACAGGCCTACTTTTCTGAACATCATTTAAGCAGTTCAGAAAAATTCCTGTACAGATACATGAGTTTCATAGCTCCCCCCATGGAATGAGGGTTATGAACAAATTGAGGGTGGCTGATAATGGTGGAAATAGCAATTCTGCTTCAGAAAGAGGTGGAGATTCTCACAAAATGAAGCCAAACCAAACTTCTGTGAAATATCTACAAGGATGCCATGTACCCCTGATAAACTTAGCACACACCTGGACTATGTATTGTTCCAGGGTACATTTTCTCCACATGCTTTTGTCATTAAGTGCCTAGTACTATTCTTTATGGATATTGTTTGCTCACTGTTCAGCAGTGCCAGAGAGAGGAGGACTCCAGATGCTGGAACACAATTAGATTTGCTAAATGTACTGTAGCAGAATTGGCCTCTGAAATTTCATGCTCAGAGGAAAGGAGACAGAGTATCAGGGCTCCATCAAGGAAGGCTGATATGGCTGGAGATCTGACACAGGAATGCTGGAGGAGACCCCCAAAGCATACAGAGTGCAGCTGTAATCCCTGTCACTGCAGGGAAATGCTCAATTGCAGCCAGTGTTGGTTGGTAGAGGCCTTGCTGCCACCATAACCCCTTGCAGGAAGGAGTTATTTGGCCAGAGCAGAGAGGATTATTTCTTCGTGCACCTGTACCCCCTTGAAAGGCTTTGTCTCCGTGGAGCCCAGCTGTTTTGTAACCAGCTGCAGAGCAAGCAGCACAGTTCTCCTGTGCCTTCTCATAACAGGAGCATGGGCTGTGGGTGGGGAATGGGAACAAGGCTTCTTATTGCTCTCTGGGAGCTGGGACAGCCCCATGCCATGCCAGCTACAGTTTCTTTACCCTATCCCCTATCAACAACAAATGGGACTGGCCCACTGACAGAACTTTACTAGCAAAAGTTGGGACTACAGTACTTCCACACTGCTTCCCAATGTGGAATTTCCATTATTATGCACACCCACACAAATATTCTTGGTAATTTCTCAAGACTTAATGGGCTGGGATCCTCACAGAGACTCTCTACAGACTATTGGTCAGTAGTTCCCTCTGGGAAGTGAACCATGGCCAGATACAAACCAGCTCAAGCACCAGAACCCCTTTTAGTGAGGTGCTGAACCCAGGCCACCTGAGGGAATTTGCATTGGCATCTTTGTCTTGCTGCTGCTGTGCTCACGCCAGGGTGGCTGCAGCATTGTCCCCTCTGTGCTGCAGTCTGGGCAGCTGCTGCTTGGCAGCTCCAGCCCCACTGCACCTCTGGGCTTACACTCAGTGCCTGCTGGTGCATGTAAGTCCCAGATCCATGAACATCAGCAGGGTTGGCATGACCCAAGTGCTGCTCCCACATCAGCTTACTAATAGTGAGCATTTTCATCCTGCAGTTGGATATGATGTGCAAAGAACATATGTGTAACAGGGCTCTAATGCAGCCCCATTCACCTCACCAAAATGGCCAGGACCTGGCTAGAGAATTTCATCATAAAATCAAGTCCCAGATGACATAGCAAGATACTGGTAGCTGTCATTTCCTGATCCCTGGGCAGCAGAGCCCTGAGCAGTGTTTCAGAAGCTGTGATACAGCTGTTCTCTACTGATTTGAAGAGAGCAGATGTTTATTTGCTAGCTTGCAAGCTCTGCCCTAACATTTGAATTAAGAGAACAAAAGTGGCCCAATATATCTTTAAATGTTTGGAAGGTGTGGAGGCAAGGCTGGCAAAGGAATGCTGCAGCTGAGGGGAACAGAACAGCTTCACAAATCCAAATATCCCTCAGGAAAAGGCCTGTCTGTTTCCTAATGGTTTTCCTCCCCTTTCTTTAATGCTTTGAACAGCAGTACAAATAAACATACGATAAATAAATTAAGGAAAAAACAGAAGGGTACAAGCCAGCCAAATAAATAATTTCAGCTTCTCTGTCTCCAGTAAGATAGGAAGAATCTTCTACTTCCTGCAAAGCTGGCCAGAAGCTCAAGATTTGTGTGGGCTGGTGCTTTCTCATGCCAAGCACAGCCTGCATGTCCTTTTCCATTGCCAGATTGGAAAGCCTGTCTCCTTCAGAGGTGCCTGGGTGCAGGGGAAATGTTGGGATATGGGTGCTGATTCAAACTCATTGGTAAATAAAGCCTCTGAAAAGAAGGCTGGAAAAAAATAAGCAACACAAAATAAGAAGCAGCTCAAGCAACCCCTGATTTAAAAATCATTAACTGTGCACAACTGTCCAGCTTACACCATTCATTATATACATTCCAGTTCTATGTTTCTCTGCACCATAAGACATGAGAAATGCCAAAATACCCTATGTCCCTACTTCTGCTTTGCTTATTTCTCTAATGATGAAAGCTGTCTGCTAAGCTCTTGTAGATCACATCTGTAATAGCTGTTACCAGAAAAAATGAAAGAAAATGTACAGTATAAACAAAAAACTGTTTTCACTTTTAGTTTAGCTCACATGAGCTTGCACTTATTTTCATATTTAAACATTTTATTTCTGTTAACATACTGCAGGCCTGCAGATAAAAATACCTTTTTGCTACCACTGCTTATCACAACTTAAGAAAGGTTCCCGAACAGCATTAGCCACTGGACTAATTATGTAGCTGACCATAGCTTAAAACCAATTTTTATATAAAAGACAAAAATTAGGTTATTCTGGTACAGCTGTTGGAAATATTCTGTTTGTGCTTTTTCCCAGTGCATGAAAAAAATTTGCAACTCTGATTTCTACCTTGATTTTTGATGAGAAAGACCTGGGGAAAAAAAAATCACAGAAATCTAGCACTTCTGCAAACCCCTTTCCCACCTTTATTTCCACCTTTCTCAGTGCTCTTTCATTTCCGAGTTCTTTTCCTGAATAACAATGTGTCTCTTCCCCAGTCACAATCTAAGGACTTTAGTGTGCACCCTTCCAAAAGAAAATTTCAACATCTGTCTGTGATGGAATGGAAAATCTGAGAAATCTGGTACTGGCTTCCTAAGCTGAGGCAAAATCTCTTCAGAGCCCTACAGAAATCTTGCCTCAGCAAGGAGAACAGGATTAGGCTCTATGTCTGTATTTCGTCTCTTTGTCTTCACTTGAGATCACACTCGTGCAGCATGGGGGCATGCTGTGCTTCAGATACTTCACAGCTCTTTCCTGAAGTTGTTATTCCTCCCAAGTATCCCTAGAATTTGTACATTTATACAACAGCAGAGGGAGCCAGAACTTCAAAGTCAGACCATAATCATAGGGCAGAATTCATTGGCTAAGTTGAAGGGAGGGAAGGACAGAGGGCGGGATAGAGAGCGGCAGAGGGAGAGAGATGCCATCCAAATTACCTACAGAAACAACCAGCAGAGCTTCTCTCCTGGATTGCAAGGGCACAAAAGGTCTTGCTTCACTCCTACAACATTTCTGCTTGCTTCTAGAACAGAAATGTGCACCAACAGCAGAGATTCTCTCCATCAGTAACTGGTAAGAATTTTCTAAATTATCTATTTGAGATTGTCAAGAGCTCACATCTCTTTATTAAAGTTATCACCTGCTATTGTTTAAAAAGCAGATGACTATGTTTGATTAATGAAGACTGACTTGTCATGAAAGGCCCAACTCTTGTATCTACTGAGTAAAGCTTTGCAACCTTTTGGGGTGCAAGAGGGAGATGGCAGCTTCTTGGGGGCCTTTGCAGTTCAGTGTCCTCCCTGCCACCCTGTGGTGTGACACAAAGAACCTTCCTGGTGCCTCTGGTCACTGCAAAACACTTATCTCCTGGTCCCTGAGATTTCTTGGTCCTCACGCAATCAAAGCAGCTTCAGACAGGACACAACACATCACTCTCCACATATCCTGACTGACTGTCTGCTAAGGTGTCCATTGCAATGTTTCATAGATTCACCACTTCCTTTGGTAAAGATCATCTTTGTAAACTGTTTTTTTTCTTCTCTTGGGTAGCAAACATGTCACAAAGGCCATTACTCTTAAGAAATCAAGGACTAACTATCATTCTGCAGTCTGCTGATTTGCTGTTCATATTTTACCTTTGTGAGCTGGCTCCATGTCTTTGGTAAGGTCTCTATGAATTTAACCAGAAAATAAAAAGTTGGAGTAAATGCTTTTGTAAAACTTCCTTGCTTTCTACAGGATCAGAGAAGATTAACTCATAACAGAATTTCATAAGCTCAAAAAGGTTTCCCTCAGAAAACATGCAGATGTGAGAGGAGGAAAAAGAATTCCCTTTCCTTGGTATTTATGCCACCCCTTATGTTCTAGACTTGTAATATGTTAATATACACAGGTTTTTATACACCTTAATTATGCAGGTTCTAGAAATGTTTGTCCTATATAGCTTTTTCAATGACCTAAGACAGTTTGTCCCAATATTTTTGCAATACAAAACTAAAAAGAGGTAAAGAGTCCATCATTAACTTTCACTGTACTGGATCCGTTATGGATTTAACACTGTTGTGGGATGTCTGTGCAAACTCAGTGATGTTTCCTCTTCTAGTTAAATGTTGCTTTCCTGGGGAGCTGTAATATTAGCCAAGTGATTTTTAACTTTTCTTTAGTATGTAAGGCTAAACAGGCCAAAAGTGCTTTACTGAGATGTCATTGGCAGCCAAAAGGGGATACCAATGTCAGTCAGTCCCCCCTACCTCAATATCTGTAATTTAAATTCTGACATTGTGTTGAACCTTTCCATTGCTCCTTTTTTATTTTTTCTTAGCAGACAACAGCCGGCTTTATGCCCAGTAATTGCTGTAACTCTTTAAGTAAGTGATACAATCACCACATGTCTTTAGGAATTGCTTCTCTCAGAATGTCTTATGGACTGAAAGCCAGTTGTCTGAGCAATTAGTTAGGCTCTAGGGTAGATAAGCAAGTGCTTCTAAGTGTCAGATAGTGAAGCCAGACACTGCAAACATGTTTTTTTCTTTGACTAATGTCTGATGTGGAAATTGGCTTCCACTGTCCATCCCAGCTATGGAGACTGTTATTTGATTGCAGGCAGTGGATGATCATGATCAGCTTTGCAAAAATGACCCACCCTTTTCCAGTGGTTACATAGAGCCCAGCATCTGTAGCAGCCCCCTGCTTTATCCTGCCTCCAGGAAAAAAGTTTTTATGGGGGTTTTCACAGGATGTCTTTGAGTCCAGAGGTCTCTCAAAGGAGCAGTCATGCATTAACTACTTGAAGCCATAATGGTCTAGCAGTCTCCTTGAAACCCACTGAGGGTTTTATTTTCTTCCCTGACTCATTTCTGCAGAATTCCCTTTCCTTTGAGGAATGTTTCAGGGAAATACAGGATAATGCCCTGGGGCAAGACTTTTGAGCTGACAAGTGATAATTTGGTTTCTTTTTTTTGAGACAAGCTGTGTGACATTTGTTACTTTAGAAGGCTGTGCTGTTCACCAAGACAAACCCTTCAAACTGCCTGCTCTTCTTCCTTGCTTCCAGCACAAATGGAAGAGTGATAAATGTCTACAAAAGATGTATGTGGGGAACTGAACTTACACTAAGATTAATTCTGAAAGCTCATTGTCTTCTTCCTTCTGTATCCTGTTAATTTGCTGCAGACCTTTGTGACACTTGCTTTTTAGAGAAGCTGTCTCATACTGCATTAACTAGAGAATAAACTCTAATGAACATCTTAGTTTTTGTTACTGAACTCTTTCTCAATATTCATTAAGAATCTGAACAGGATTCCTCTTCCTTCTTTAAAGACAAATGAGCAAAAAGCAAGCAAAAATCTCTCTCCCTCAACAAACAGATTTAAGAGATATACTTCTTAGTCCTACAAGCCAAGTAAATACTGCATCATTTTCTGAGGAAAAAAGCTGTTTTTCCTTAGACCATAATCTCATGGTTTCTGGGGTATCAGCAAACCTTCAATACAATGAGGGGAATAGCTAACACCTCTGTTCCCACTGCACTGGTGATTCACTGTATTAGCTCAGCTTTGATTCAAATATCTAAACAGAATATACACACATCGCTTTTTACTGGCTCTTGGTTTAGAATTAACTGAATGGCAACCAAATACCTTGAAAGCCAAACACATCACTTGGGAGTGCCTGCCCTTGCGGATCTGCCACCCAAGGATACCATACTAGGATGCATAAGTGCAAGGTTACTGTAATAGTTATTTTTGTTTTCCTGGGACTGCTTTTTACATTATGGTTGCTGGAACAAGAGCTAAGGAGCACAACAGACATAGGTGATTTATGCATTGACTTTTCCCAAGGCATCAGGTTGGCAGGTGGTTTAAAGCACCTCATGGTGCATCACAGGTTCCCTTGAGACACTGAACAACTCATGTCCCAACTCCCTCTCACAGTCCCCTTATCTGTGATAGGAAGGTGATACTCCCTTATTTACTTCTGGGCAGTGCCATAAGACTGAATGCCCAGGAATGCCTGCCATTCATCTGCTGTGGGATACCACAGAATGCAAGGTGATAAAAGAGAGGGAGCTCCTAACGCAGCAACACACATTACAGAGATGCTCTTCATCCTTCAGAGATGCTCTTCATCTCCACCACACTTCCCATCAGTGACCAACACACAGCCATGCTCAGTCTTTGCTATTTCTCTTGGAAATGTGCTCCCTAAACCTATGGGATCTGACTTCTGCTTTACAGGTGGCTCCATCACTTTCTCTTTTTTTCTTCAGCATTATTAGTCCTCACTGTTGCTTCAGCATGTCCAAAAGTGTCTGGGACCCTTGAGAAGGCCTACTCTGTAGACACAGATGTTTGTAATAACTGCACATATTTTCATATTTTTCAAGCAACAAAAGATAACCATGTGTTTGTTGTTGAGGATACTGTAGCTAGGGACATGAAGCTGGGACCGTAGTAAAAAGCTCACGTGTTTTGTTTACAGCTAAATCTGTTTGTCCTGTCCAAATGCCAGGACTTATCTCTTCTGATTGGTACAAAATAATATAGCAGGCTGCCCATCCCTTAGCTCTGTTTTGCTTGCAGTATCCCCACTGCCCAGCAATCATTAAAAACGATGGGGCTGGTTGAAGGTTTTTCATTCTATACCCATTTTTTTCACTGAAACAGACCACCATACCCTCCCCATCCATACATCACCACTGCTGCGTCTTTTTCTTCCAGAAAGTGTATTGATCTGTCCACATGGATTGGGCAACAACACAAAAATGAGAGGACAGAAGGAGTTATGCCTACATCCTCAATTTGGAAAATTTTCTTTGCCCCTCTTAATTAAGATTCAAACTATTGAGGGAATGAAAGACTATGAGAAAGAAAGAGCTGCTGTATTTTGCTCGTGTGACTATCTTGATTGCCTCAGATGGATACAGATAGATGACAGAAAGATAAAGAGAGAGAGAGTTAGGTAAATCAACAGGTCTAGCAAAGTAACAAAAGAATTTGCTGTACTAGTTAATTCAAGCATCCTTTTATTTACTGCACCCTATTGCTTTCTTTAGTTCCTGAGAGTCAACATCTCTAGAAAACAATAAAATTCATAATGGGAAAGACAAGGCAAAGAAAAAGATATAGGATAGTGGGGACTTTTTGTACAGTACTGGTTATCTTTAGGCATGCAGTTGTTCAGCAATAAATGCTACTCCATTGAAGTGATAAGCTCACCATACCATGTTACTTATGTATTCATACCATAATTAGTTGTTTTTTCTGAATCTCAAACATTTTTTGCCACCCCACAAACTTGTTTGAGTGATATTTAATCATTGAGGAAAGTGTCATGCAGTGGTTAAATAGTGTCATTCCCCAAATATTTATTTACTTTTCATACTACAAACCCTTGAACAGCACAGAACTGCCTCTGCCCTGATGACAACTCCCAGCAGAGTCAGATTTTTTTTTCTTTGATTCCTGGACACAGAGGATTTGGACATGAGGGTCAGGATTATAAAGTAGCCTTTGCTATGGCTCACAGGAGTCATCTGGGAGAGTCGAGGCAGTCCTGTGACTGAGATTTGCAAAAAGTATGCAGCGCAAATTAACTCCATGGGTTCGGCTCCCTGAATCCCACTGGAAGTCCCAGCTCGTGGCTTGCAGCAGTGAGTTTGAAGCAGACCTATCTTTGTACAGGAACACTCTCTAGCAGATAGAACAGGCTTTTACAACAAATTTGTAAAAAAAAAAAAAAAAAAAAAAGTAAAATTATGCTGAGGGAGAATCAATAAAAATCTTCCCAGAAGGAATTAAAAGACACTATCAAAATCACTCACTCTTAAAGGCTAAATCAGGGAGCTGGACTGTATTTCTGATAAACCCTGTCATGGTCACATTCGGGGAGATATCAATGCTTCGTGGGCACTGGAGTTCATCCGGAATGAGGAAGCAAGAAATTTGGCTTGCGGTTCCCATGACCTATCACAGCTGTGTAGAAGCTGGAAAATGTTGAAATTATTTTGAATTATTTTAGACTTTTTAAAAATTTTCCCATTATATCCCTCCAGACAATGAGCCTGAGTTTTTGCATGGTGATTATCTTGCACAAATGTGAGTTCTGGCTGCAATTACAAATGCATTTCACAGAAGATATTTTAATGTTGGCTTTGTGCACCTAATATGCCCTGCACATTGATGTTTAGCACAGCTGAAGGTAAATGCAGCCTCACAATGTCCTCTGCCCAGTTTTGGATCAGAGCCTTGCAGAACCAGAATCGCATGCAATTTTACCCTGGGTGGGTTTTGATCGGGTTTTGTTGTATCACCACTCTACTGCATTAGTGATGTTCAAGATACTGCACTGAGTGAAATAATGAAGTTAAGATGTTCTTAAATCCATGGTACAACTTCACAATGAATAAACATGGTCATAATTCAATAGAGTTGTACAGACTTTCATGCCACAGTGTAGCAAAGGGCTCCATTTTATGATCTAATAAACTGTGTAAGAAGGAGCTGCAGAAAATACACAAAATCCCTGGCATTTGCTTCCCTGTCTCCCTCCTTACCCTTTTGACTAACTTCTTGCAGCATAACGAAACATATTTTTCCTTTTCCTTTCCTTTGCAGATATACCCGGACCTTCCACAGCCAGACAGAACAGATATAACACTTTTAGGCTGGCTCCAGAAGACTCAGACTGTGTTTGACTACCACCCTTTTGCATAAATATTTTGGGATTCAAGATGAATAAGACAAAGGCTGTAAATGATGTTTTTCATTTCCTGATCAGCAAGAACTGGAGCTCAAGCCGAAGCTTTCCTATGAACATTTCTAATCAGTGCATGAACATCACTGACCTTACTGTCTTTCTGGCCACCTCCTACAGCTTGGAGACTGTTCTGGGCATTGTGGGAAACATCTGTCTGATTGCTGTCATTGCCAGGCAGAAGGAAAAGGCAAATGTCACCAATATTCTAATTTTCAACTTAATAATTTCAGACTTGTTTATGTGTCTTGTCTGTCTGCCTTTCACTGTTGTTTACACCATGATGGACTACTGGATATTTGGAGAAGTCATGTGCAAAATGACCTCTTTCACTCAGTGCACAACTGTGACAGTATCAATCCTTTCCCTTGTCCTTATTGCTCTGGAAAGACACCAGCTCATCATAAACCCAACTGGCTGGAGGCCAAATACCTCCCAAGCCTACCTAGGAATTGGAGTGATTTGGACTTTAGCATGCCTCATGTCCCTACCCTTTTTGACCACATCCATCTTGTCTAATGAGTTGTATGAGCAGCTCTCACACTTCATGAATTTTTCCACTGATAAGGCAATATGTATCAACTCGTGGCCTTCTGAGCAGCACAAACTTATCTACACTACCATTTTACTGCTCTTACAATACTGCATCCCTCTCTTCTTCATCATCCTCTGCTACCTGCGAATCTACTTACGCCTGCAGAAGAGGAAGGACATGTTTGAGAAGAGCGAGTACAGCAACCGAGCGGTCCAGCTGAGAAGGATAAACATCTTGCTAGCATCCATGGTTGCTGCTTTTGCTGTTTGCTGGCTACCACTGCATGTTTTCAACACCATCGTGGACTGGAATTACAAAATCATTTCACCTTGCCACCACAACCTGATCTTCTCATTGTGCCACCTGGTAGCTATGGCTTCTACCTGTGTCAACCCCGTTATCTATGGTTTCCTAAACAGCAACTTCAAAAAAGAAGTGAAGTCACTGATTCTAAGCTGCCAGCATAATTCAGTAACTGCCTCAATGGAAGAATATGATCATTTGCCTTTATCCACCATGCAGACTGAAATTTCCAAGGGGTCACTGATGTTGAACTGCAGGCACAATTCTATCTAAGGAGCAGAAAACTTTTCAGAAGGGTGCACTGACACCACACACCAACTATTACCTGTGGGCATATAAAGCAACAGGTGATGCCACAGCTGGGATGTGAACAGGAAGCAATCACTACCTGATTTCTGGAAGAGCAAGTAAAGTAATGTAAATGTTCACAGTTGCTGCTGTGGTGCACAAGCTTTTCACGGTCACTGAGGTGGTACAGACACTGAGGAGACTGGGCTGCTCTAAAGCAGCTGCTCTAAGATCAGTGACTAAGCTGTGACTGCACAGAGGCTGACATGGGTTCATCAGCAAAACTCATATCACTACCATGGCTGCAGTGGAAAACCAGATTTCCAGTTTCATCACTGCAGGCTGCCAAAAGTTGTGTTGGAAAAGACTCTCTCACTTTTCCAGTATTAGTAAGATTTTTATGCACAGCTGACACACGAGAGATAATGTAAATACCTTTTTTTTTTTACCACCTCTCACAGCCCATTAAGTAACAGTAATCTTTCATATCTTCACATGAAACACTGCCTTTTTCTATGAAACTTCACTCTCTGCCATAAGCTTGAGAGTAGTTATTGCCTCTGCAAGTAGGGACAAGGAACAATGACCCTGGTATGTAAAGAAGACAGTCACTTATGAAGGATGGCAGCAAATGAAAATTTATTCAATGGATTAAACTCAAAATGCATTGAGATGATACTGAGAACTGTTTTTAAGCACATGAAAAACAGTTGTAGATCTACATGGAAATGAATCAAGTTCCTGCTGCTGTCAATCACCAAGCTCTGCAATGCTACAGCTTCATGCCATGATGGTACAAGATGGCCAGATTACAGGAGTTGTTCTAGGACTTGGTAGCAACATGGTGTTCTGCTTCAGCATCTTCTTGGTACTTTGATTGCAAAGTATCTAATTCAAAAGGTCAGAATGAGCATGAAAACCTGTTTGTGGAAATCATGTGTTTCCAGAGTGGCTACACTTCCAAAGAAATAAACATATGCATGGAGAATTTGAGTTTTCTTAAAAAATAAGACCTGATGTCAGATATCAGTCGCACTCACTAGCATCAGCAGCACAGGTGAAGCTGAAATTCCAACAAATAAAGAGAAGATCAATGAAAATACACAGGTGGAATCCAGGTCAGGCTGAAGCCAAGCCACGCAGGTGGTACTGTCAATTGCTCTAGTAAAATGAAGGTCATATTTTTTTCACAACTGTGTTATTTGTAGACTTTGTTCATAAGACCTACAAACTGTAAACTGCTTTTAGCCTCTGGAGCCAGAGAAATTGCTCAGTGACTACTGAGAAACCAAAGCATGCCCAAGAAGGCCATACTGAGGTACAGATTTAAAAAAACCAAAACAGGTAGCAAGTGCAAAAAGGAGACCAACCAGTTCAATGCTAATGTAATATTGAAGAATATTCAGTCCTGATTTGCCAAACTAACCTTAGCAGAAGACTGGACTGGGTGGTCGGCTGAGGTAATTTCCTATGTGAAATGTGCTTTGATAAGCAGTGATTACTTGTTGCAGTCAATAGGTTTACATGGAGCTGAAGATATCCAGTGTAAAGCTATGCAGGCAGCTAGAAATTCCTTAGCTGGCAGATCTCTGATCAGACAAATTGGTATAAAGACAGGTGAGAAAAAGTCTTCTTCCCATGCTGTGAACTGACAGGAATATGGATGCTGAGCAGAGTATCTGAGGACAAGAGCTAACCCCTATGTTATAAGGCAGCAAAAGCTATCCTATCCCCAGCTGGCAGAAATAAAAGTTAGCCCTTGCCATGAGCTGGGTGCACAGATTTCAGTGGTAAAACTTGAAGTTTGGCCTTGAATTCTTGTGTGCAGAATCTTATGGCAGAACCTTGTTTGATGCAGTTACCCCTGTAATTCTGGCCAGAACCTGTATATCTTTGTAAGAGACTTGGTGTGTGATTACCTTTTGTATCTTCCTCAACTATGTGGCAAGAGATTTTTGCTTTTTTCAAATGGATTCCAGCTTTCTTTTATTTTCTTTATTACTTGCTATGCTATGCTGAGAAGTTGTTTCTCTTGATGGGTTTGCATGCAATGTGATTTCTAGACTGGACGTTCAGTCTACTTAAAAAACACAGAACAAGAGGACTCTTATATTAGCTGCATCTTGAAATTTGCTGCTGTAGCCAAAACCACCATTGGATGCTGAGTAGCACAAAATACAGCAGCTCCTTCTAATCAGTGTGAGTTATAGCAAAACTGTGCTGTATTACTTCAGGGCTTAAATACTGTTTCAACTTTGTCATTGTTTTGCATTTAGAATCAATTTAAGTAATCGAGTAATTCTGCCTTTTTTTGCGCTTGTTAGAATTCCAGCATTTAGCCAGCTAAAGTGTCTGTAAAGCTATTGTAAGAATACTCTGCTAAACACAAACACAGAAAATTACCTGATACATGGTCTTAAGTATATAACTTTTCAAGCAACCAGTGTCTTAAATGGAAACACAATTACCTTAGCATTTGCACTTCCACGAGCCTGTCTTTGTCACTAGTTCTAAGTGAAAACTTTTGGTAAAGTGCTTATAGTACAGCAGAGACCTGCCACTAGAGCTGTGCACTGGCATTGTGCACCAGATTAGAGTTCTTCCTACAAAGGGTAGAAATATGAGCGAGATCTGATGCTGTTTAACTGTAATTCATGTGGCCATTTGTTTCCATGAACACAAGTAGATACATAAAGCAAGCGGATCCAACTTTACAATAACACAGACAGACACAAACGGATGTTATCTTCCTCTCGTGATTAAGCAAAGTGTCAAGTTTGGAGTCAACTGCTGTTTATTGCTAACTGACTTTGGACTGGATAAACTACAGGATTTAAACACTAAAAGGCACCAAACTGCACCCATACATCTAACTGCAAAAATGCAGATCCTCAGAACTCCCAGCCAGCTGCAGTCTATCCATCTACTTACTATCCTGAGATACATGTTTTTCAACCTCTAAAATTTCGTAAGTAACTAAATAAACTTTAAAGAAAAGACAGAAAAATAAATATATCCAGGCACCAAAAGACTGAGCATGTGACAGGAAAGGTGCCTGTACAAATTCTTCATTCTGTGCATACACCAAGGCTTATGCTGCTGTGCACAAATGCAGTAGAAGATAATACCCTGTTAGTTTATTAAGAACTTTTGTAGCAACTGTTCCCTCTTCCCTCTGAAGGCAAAGTCACAAGGCTGGGTGAAATTATGCCTGCATAATTGAAAGAGCCATTTTATTTGTCGCTTTGAGGCTTTATGCAGCCAAGGGAGGCTAGGTTTCTTTGGTCCCAGCAGAAGGCAACAGAACAGAAATAGCTTATATACCTCTTATCCATCTGTAAATAACAGATACTGTTAATGTGTAAGAAGCACTGAGCAGTTTTGTGTTCATTGTATACAGTGACAGTTTTGAATATACTCTTTAAAGGTCTGCTATTCAGTCACAAAAGCAATGATGGAAAAATAAGCAGGAGTTGGGCAAATCATAAGTTCCTAGAATTTTAAGACCTTACACTGCCTTTTTTTTTAAAAAAAAGTTTTTCATAATCTTGCCTCCTGTGACACATTATAAGAAGACAGTAAGGTTTTCAGAGCAAGAGAACAACTTATTCTGTGATATAAATAGCACACTACAGGGAATCTTATAAAAACAAATAAAGTAATGTTGTCTGTGTCACTTCTCTGTGCCTGCTTCTGTAAAATGATGTAATACTCTTCCTAGTATAAAATACTTCAGATTTAGTCCTCAACTAGTGTTTATCAAGAGAAAACAAGTGTATGGTGCAATAAGAGCCACTGATGTGTGAAGGATTAATAATTTGGCACATTGTTCCAAAGGACAACGGTGCAGTGCAGCCAGCAATGGAAGACAGGCAAGTACCAAAATTTCAACATGGAACATTGGAATATTCTGATGCCAGAACTCATTTGAGTTCTTCATAGACTTTTCAGATTGCACAAGAAGCTGAGTCCTCTATGGCACAGTGTCCTGAACCCCAACCAGAACCACAGCCAGAAAGTAACTAACACTGCTGGGATGAAAACCAATGTGGGATATTTAACAATTGTACTGAACTTCATAAAATGCTTTGACTGGGTTAAAAGTATTGGTAAATTTCTCTGACTGGGTTACCTGGCTTGACAGAAAGTAAACCAAGGTATCAGAAATGACTTGTAGCACATTAGCAGATTGTGCTATAACCATGTGTGATTTATTGCACTTGCACACACAGGGGAAGAGTGCAATAGCAGGGTCTGCCTGCCTGGACTGGTGGTGTGTGGCACGAGCTGCCACAGGGGTTGGCAGCAGTGCTGTGACAGCCACCAGTCACATCTGCAACATAAAAATCTTACTCTGGGTTTGCTGTGTGCAAGCACAGAGTGCACACACACCTCTGAGGTCTGACACTGGGTAAGAGATTATTGTGAAATAAGATGTCATATCCTGAGGACCACTCCAGAGATCCTTTTGCTTTGACCCAAGGGTCTTCTCACAAGATCACCTGGCATTTCATTTTACAGGCCATTCTCTTCAAGTTTCTTATCAATCAAACACTGGCTTGATTTTCATACCAGTACTGATTTCAATGTAAATTGTTGATGCTTAGTATCATGTGTCATCTGAGTTTATTTTGTACGAACATCAAAATCCACAGAGCTTTTTATGCTCTTCCCTCCCTTTCTCAATTTGCTCTATGAAGTCACTTATTTGAACTCAGGAAGTCATGAGTAGAATAAGCCTGAGATTTATACTTCTGTACTATGCCTTTCCTGCCAGACCATGCTCATTAGGCCTTAGTCAGAATTGTTTTGTTGTCCTTCCAATAAATGCTTATATGAAGCCCAGTAGCAGCACAGAGATTTTATGATGGAAACCAGTGTTGAAATTTAATTCCAGAGATGTCTACCTTTTGTTTTTTCTTTATAGAACTTTAGTTGATGACATCCACCATCCCTTTGTAAAACAAAAATACTCAGTTAAATAGTGCTACAGTAGTCATCACGTATAATAGGAAGTATTTTGTTCTATAGAAATTGCAACCCAGATTACCAGATATAATACTAAAAAAATAGCCATGATACACAAAATGATGGCATAATAGTAGTATGAATAAGTACTTTTAGAGGAATATCACAAGATGCAAACTGACAGTAGAAAGATGGAGTTTCAGTCAAAAGGTGCGCTAACAGAGAACATGGAACTTGCACTGTAAAACAGGACTAGGATTTGTTCTGTCCTTTGAATATAGTAAACTTCATGATTTACTGTGTCCCTTATCCAGTCCATGGGAATATGAATCCTCCCTGTTGGGAGCTAGTGGGCAAGTACTTCATCATCCATAAGTACTTGTCTTGATTTCGTTTCTACAAGGGGATTGCATGGAAAATGCACTTGCCTAATGCCATGCCTTTAGTAAGGTAATAAGCACTGATTCATCTGGTTGATAGGCTGACTTAATGACTAAAATTAATTACATGCACCATATATTTCTTTATGTTAAAGATAGATTGTAGAAAAGTTCCTGATGTCCTAAAGACCAATATAACCACTTTCTGAAAGACCCTGCACTCACAGCAGAGAGCTGGAAACCACAGGAAAGTTATGGTCTTCTCAACATGTATCATAAAGGAATTTACACAGTCAAGCAAAGGCTTTTGTTTAAACTCACAAATACAGAGACTGCTCCAGGAGCATAATGCACATGAACCCCCAGGGCTATGTTTTGGGAACGCTCCCAGGCTATAAAAATAGCAGAAGCTGGCTAGCACTGTGGTAAAGGTTTTTAAAGCTGGTGAAATGAACTAATGCCACAGATCCCATTCGAAATTCAGCGTGTGCTGAAATCCAGCAGGGAAATGCAGCCCCACAGTCCCACATTGCGCAATGCCCTTTCATAATAACCCACATTTCCACAAGCCCCACGCAGCATATGACACAGCACACAGGCATGCACTGCCTCCCACCAGGCAAGCTCATCTCCCTGAGCAGCAGAAAGGCCTTCTGTTAAACCCACAAACTGCTAATACAGTGCCTCTGCCTCAAAGACTCTCTCAAAGATGGTTCTTGAGAGGATGAATGTGTTTTCCGTGCACAGCAAGGAAAAGCTTTACGGCATTGTAGTTGCATTCAGCATCTGGGTGAGTTGCTGACAGACACCCCTAAATAAGGGAGTACCTTATTGCTTGTGGAAAGGAAGCAAGGAATTGGCTGGAACAAAAGGAAGCATTCTACCTGTATTTGCAAACAGACCCCTGATCCAGCTCATACTCAATTATTTGCGCTGCAAAATGAATATATTACATTACAGATTTGCAGAGGTTAAAGTTTAAGGGAGGACAATTTGAGGTTTTGTGCTTCATAACATTTTCACTGATCAGTTTTCCACAAACACGATTGGTTAGAACTACAGTATGCATGGCATTCCAGGATTAAAATATACATAAGACTTATCATAAACATACAGTTTCTCAGGATATGGGCCTTGGAACAAATGTACACAGTGAATTTTAAAAATAGGTCTTCAAGAAAATTGATTTTTTATTTTGAAAAATTTCAAACAAACAACTAACAAGGACAAAAAATAGTCCCTCATTCTGCAAACAGATGTTTACTTCAAATTATGTGAGGAATATGAGTGCTTTAGTGTTAAATTTTCTACCGTGCAGTACTTCCTAGATCAACACATTAGTTTCACTAGAAAGAACAAAAAGTAACAGTAATGATAAACACTGCAAAGCACACGAGTGCACTGTTGTGACTGGTTAGTGGTAAGGCTTGCGGCAGTTCTGAACTGCTGATAGCTTCTCTTTAGTTCAATAAAAAGGAATGTGCCTTTGTTTTAACCAGCTTAACTCAGTATCAATTTTTATAAATAGAATTCACCTGAAAGAGATGGTAGGCAGCATCTGAGCACACAGAGAGAGTATTAGAGCTTAAAGGACAGGTTTAAGACATTAACCATAATCCTCTTGTATCTAGGAGATCATGCAAAGTCTTTATTAGTTTTTTTTTAGACTTGGAAACAAATCAATTGATGCTGTTGCTATGATTCAGCCATCAGCTTGACTGGCTGCATTCACTTTTGTCTGTATAGTCTGTTATTAAAGGTAGGGAATGAAAAGAACCACTCTGGTGCTTATTTTAAGCATACTTATCAGCAGCAATCTCCTATTTTATACTAAGAGCAAACACTGTTTAATTTATCCTTTTATAACTAAATACAAATTACTAAGAGGTATGGGGTCAATAAGTGGTACCAGCTTCCAGGAACATCCATTCTTTATCAAACTTTTTTTTTTAATAGCATTTATAATATCTATTCAGGAAAACACTGTCAACTGTTTTAATAGAGGTTTACAAATCACTGCTTTGTTGGGAAAGAATGTCTGTGTTGCATCCTCTGTTAATATGCTTCAATTGTAAATAATTGCCAGCAGCAGTTATCTCCTACAATAAACTCCAGGCCTCCCAGTGCCATGAGGATACACAGAAATTAGGTGCAGGCAACTACTCTTAATTTCCACCTACAGGAGCACATGAGCTTGGACACCCCTGGATGTTTTCCTACATGCCACAGGCACATGCATGGACACTCACACACACCCACAGCGCAGACACAGCCCCAGACCTGCTCTTGGCCACACCAGACGGTAGGCATGTGCAGGTAACTAACTTCTGAGAACAGAGTACACTGACAAATCAAGTAGGTGCACACTTTACCATTCTCTTAGCAGAGCCCTGAAGACACAGGCTGATAATTTTGCTCACCAATATGTGCTACGAATACAGCTTGTTGTTGCTCACCAACGTGTGCTACAAATACAGCAAGAACTGTGCAGGGAGGCGAGGAGGGGCCCTGCGATCCATCAGTCCTGCCAGGGAAGGGCATGGCCTTGCCCAAGCTGCTGATGCCCCTGATGGAGCAGGGGTTTGGGAGGCTCAGACTGGGCAGCTCCCATTCTGCAGGCAGCAGCAGGGAGTGGGAAGGTGAATGGCTCAGTGGTGGTGACAAAACCAAGAGTATTCCCACATGGTCAGAGCAGGATTTCAGAGGGACCAGGGAAGTGACACAAAGCAGAGGTCTAAGGTTAGGCAGAGCTTTGAGGATCCTTTTCTGGAGTGTAGATGCACAAGCTCCATCTAAATCCAATATTAAATTCAGCTCCAAGGTGGCATGCTTAAGTCACACAGGAAGCTTGTATCTGAGCAGCTGTTGAACCCAGTCCCACACCAGCACAATAATCAATAATCCATTTCCACCTTAACCATGCCTGAATCTCTGAAAACTGCAGCTTCAGCATGTTCAATCCAGAACCGACTCAGGGATAAGAGCCCTGGAAAGGAGATGGGGATGTACAAGGTGACCTGAATAAGTATGGGCAGTCACACAACTGGAACAATTAAAATGATTCCCCTTCTTGGGGAGTCACTTGATTTTATAATTAACTAAGTTTGAATGAGTTTATTTCTTGCAGGCTCTGTAGTACTAATGAACCACCCAGCCCCTGGGGAGCACCAACCTGTGCAGAACTTGATAGATATGCTTTCATGCAGTTTTAATTCTTATTTGGTTAACCATTAGACTCCTCAGCTGCACCTAAAGAAAGCAAAGGTTCTGAATTTGGGTGCTCACAAACAGAGCACCCAAAATGTACAGTGAGCTGAAGACACAGGTC